GGTTGCTGTAGGTGATCCAGAAGTCTGTTTTTGAGGCTTGTTTATGTGTCTTCTCATTTCCATGGGGGGAGGGGTGCTTCTGGAACCCACGTGGCTCGCCTTCTCTGCCCTAGGAGCTTGTGATGGCAGCGGGGGAGCTTCCTTCTGGGTGCTGGGACCCACTGAGCTTCACTGCCCTAGGAGCCTGGGATGGAGGCGGGGGAGCCTTCATTTGATATATTTTGATATATAATCTATGCAACATCTCTTGCTCTACAGTTTTTGGACTATGCTACTGCTACTTTTTCCTGACATTTCCACCCCCATTTTCCCTTATCCAAAAGATCATGTTGTAGTTTTTCCATCTATATTATATGATTTAAGATTTGGTTTCCTTTTACTGTACTTTAATGTATGCCTAGCTATTATTTATTCATATGGCAAAAATTAAATTGGAAATTTTTTTCTAACTAATTACAAATAACTCTTTTTCATCAACTCACTATTGATTCTCTAAAAGTAGATTGTGTGAAAAAAGGGACATACACCTTTTTCATTTGATGGGGCAGGGAGGAAGACTTTGCACAATAAATGTCCTCTTCTCCCTCAGCCCAATCAAGCTCCTACTGGTGCATTTGAAATCAGCAACTCAAACACTTGAGGTATTCTTCTGGGAGGTCCTAGCCTTCATCAGTCAGTCTCAGTACCTCTTGGTGGCCCTCAATACCTGAGTTGAGAGATGCTTCATATTTAAACCATAACAGCCACTTTTAGATTGTAGAACATTAGTGTGTTCCTTCTGATGCCTCTAAGCTTCAAAGGCCTCAACAACACTTCATTAAGGAGACAAACATGGACATCATCAAAATAGCATCATGTTCTTCACTTCTCTATTGTCATACTGTGTCACAGGGCACAGCGCTAGGCTACTGGGGGGTGGGAGGTGGTACCGGGAATGAAATCCAGGGCCTCATGCAGGCTAGGTGATTGTGGCACCACTGAACTACATCCTCAGTCTCTTATTTATTTTATATTGAAACAGAGCCTTACTATATTTCCCAGGCTGGCCTCTAATTTATCTTCTTGTGGCCTCAGCCACATGTGTAGTGTAAGCATGTGCCACTACACCAGATGGGCTGTTCTTCTTTAACTGAGCCTGAGCATTTAAACCAGGTTAAGTTGCATTTTAAAAACATATGTCTCTTCCAACAGGCAGGGCACAGTGTTTGTTTTGTCCTCAGCTTCCCTTCAAATATGTGACATGAACAACTTGATGCAACATTGCCTTTATTTCACCCTATAAAACCAACAGTTATACTGAGAAGAGAGGGTTTCTTCTTTTGAAAACCAGAAGAAACTTGATTTTCTATACACTGACCATTTGTATCTTCATGCTGTATCTGAGTATCCAACAAAATACCTATATGTATGTTTCTAACCATATATGGGTATAAAAATATGTGATCCATGCATACATCTGCAGATGCTAATATGTTAACACATGTGTATGTGGGTATTACACTTGTGTCGCTTGCATAGATTTTACAAGGTTTACATGCATGTAAATTTTACTCTATTACTATAGTCACTGCACAAACATAATCTAGAAAATTTTATTCATATCAGTGGGTGATACATAGAAATGAGTTTTACAAAATTTTTATCTTTCCAAGCATTTGCAAAAATGTCTGAACTGTCCAATGTTTCTGAAAACTTTTGGAAAGTACACAATTAAAATGAGTAGAGACAGGAATTAGATTACAAAATGGAGAGGAAGCTTTACCAAAACATTGATAAAAGCACCTTGAAAAAGGACAGCAATCAGAAAAGAGAAATACTATGACTATATATGGCTTATCAAATACCATTACGGAGGAATACATGTAATCAAAAGTTTTCATAATTGAAAAGAGGATGAAAACATCACTTCCCTAGTCTCTGAAATAATGTTCTCATACAAAGTTTGCCTTTCTCTAACCCAAGCGTACATGAATTTCAAAAAGAAAAGTTTTTCACTTCGTTAGCACTTTCAGGGGTTATCGGGATACTAAAGGAGCAGACTGTAGGCAGAATCATGTTTTACCTTCTGTGTTTCTTATGTTGCTTTAAAGCAGAAGATGATTCCGAGGTGGTGTACAAGGTACAAGGAGTGATAGAAAAATAAGATGAATGTTTATATTAAAATAAATTATTACATTAAAATGAATTACCATTAATTATCCTCAAAATATCCCCCACTTCATACATATTTATCCCACTTCTCTTGCCACTTTCTGAAGCAGTTCTGGAAATCCTCTTTTGTGTCTTTAATTGCACTATCCTGGCTTCCTCAGGGTCCTGCACCCATGCAAAATGTTTACCTTTCATGGTTATTTTGATAGTGGGAAGAGCCAGAAATAACATGGTGCCAAATCTGATGAATAAAGTTGATGAGAACACACTGCAATATTTTTAATGAGCCATCCTTTCTGTTAGATGTCAGTGACATTTAACATATTTGTGATCACATCTCACAGACACAGAAGAGGATTTCCAGAAGTGCTTTGGAAACTAGCAAGGATGGATGGGATGAGTATATTTGAAGGGAGGAGGAGTATTTTGAGGAGGATTAATGGCAATGTGTCTTTTACTGTAGTACCTTTTTTAAAATTTAAAAATTCATTGTATATTTTTATCACCCTTTGTAATGCCCATGACAGACATAAGTTTTCTTAAATTATTGCTCTACTATGATGCATGCGGTTTCTATCTTTGGAAACTCTCAAAGAATAACTTCAGATCTATCTTTTATACTGACCATCAATCTAAAATATTTAGAAGAAGGGAGTGTCCTGTAACTTGAAGAACACTTCCTGGTGGTGATAAACTTCAACTCCACCTGTATTGATTTGAAATAGGGTCTAGTCACATAGGCAAACCCAGGAGCAAGAAGGCTTGGGAAATGAATTAGAAGAAAATATGTCCAATGAACACTTAAGAAGTTTTCTGTTGACATTGAAGGCAGACTATCAGGAATAAATAACAAATTTTCATGTGCTTCCCAATATTTGCATTAAGTCAAGAATAATTGTATTTTGTTCTCTTGGATTTGGCTTTAGTATTTAGTATTGCATCTAAGAAGAATAAAAATTTAGGATGTGATGACAAAAAATATGAAATAAAGAAAATATATAATATATAATATTTTAATAACTAGCAAGAGCTACCAGAGCTTGTATGGTAGATGGGTCAGTCTCTATAATATATCAATTCTGGGCTCATTCCAATGGCCTTGCCTTCATTTTCAGTTCTTCTCCAACTTGAAATGGCTTCTTCACACCATCCTGCCTTTCCACATTTTATACATCTGTCAATGACAAACACAAGTGTTCAATCCTCATGCATTTCTCACCACTCCAGGTTATAACCAGGCACATGTATGGTTCATTGTCGGGAGCAATGTTACATAATTTTAGGGAAAAACCATTGGATTAGGCCTAGTTCTCCTGCCTACAGGCCAGCTATGGCATTTTGAGACAGAATTCCATTTTTGGTCCCAGGTCACAACTGAGACCTCAATGATCTGGTGATGCTGTGTTGCTCCAGGGCAAGATTACACCAGCTGGGAGGAACAAAATCTTCATCTACTCATTTCCTCATTGTTCTTAGATTGTTACACTTTGTTTATTCCATGTACTGAACTCTCTGCAAATCATTTATTATATTTGTTTCTCCTGATGTATTGAATAATAAGGTGGGTGCGGTAAACTGGGGGCTTTTGTCGTTGCTGCCCAGAGCAGCACTGATCAGACCCAATGCTCAGCTTCTTCTCAGTCTCATTTTTCTACCTTTCCTGTATAATAAGTTAATTTGCCGTGTGCTGCTGTGGCTCGCAAGAGACTAGGACTTACTGCAGAGGTTCTAGCAACGTTGTCTTTCCCTGTTCCCTACAGTTCATCACACATATTATTGTACTGAAGACTTCTCTAGTATTGGTTATTATTAACTAATGCTCATTGATAATAAACAACTTTTAAAACACAAATTAAATGTCCACATAAATAAAAATTGAAAGCATTCCAAAGTAAATTTTATAAGAAAATCTCTTACAATTATAGCTTCTTTTTTGGTTTGGTTTGTTGTTGTTGTTTTTTTTTGATACAGGCTCTTGCTCTGCAGTACAGGCTGGTTTTGAATTCACTGTGTAGCCCCCAGGCTGGCCTCCAACTCATGGCAATTCCTCTACCTCAGCATCCCGAGTGCTGGGATTATAGGGATGCAAAAACATGCCTGGCTAAAAATTATTTAAAATTCATCAATATTGAGTAAGAACTTTAAATATAATTTCACTCTCAAATAGTTAAGTATGAAAATACTTTCTATAACATAAATTTTCATTGTTCAACACATTTTTAGTTTTAGAAGGAAAAAAGCCCTCGTCTTCCTCTTCAGTCTTCTTATGCAGATCATGGATCTTTGGGAATATCTAAATTAGCTTCAGGGCAGAGACCACCACACTGGAGAATAAGCTGACTTTGTTCGGAAAACTAAGTTACCCCATTTTGGTGTAAGAATTAGGAGTAGACAATTCCCTAACTCCGTTACTCTACCTTTCGAAATTCCCACTCATAAAATTTCTCCTCCCTCTCCCCACCTGGGCAGGGATGGAGAAGACTGGACGGTTGGAACCATTATCCTCACTTAGCTCTGGGGGCTTCTGGCTTCTGAGAACTAACGAGGGAAATGGAGGTGGGTTCGATATAGTAATATCTGCAAAGGAATGGAAATGAAACCGAAGCTGCAGTCGATCTTAATTCCTACTCCGCCTAACCCGCCGGCACCTCGTGAAAGCCTGCAGAAAGAGTAGCCCTAGTCTTCCCTAAATTCGTGCCCAGGGATGGGCATCGTTTCCCAGTTCTGCCCGGGTCGCCCCAGGAGACCATCTTCCTCCCTCCTTCGAATCCGGCTGAAACTCTTCTGCTGGGTTTGTCTTCCCACCAGAGACCTTTCTTTGGCCATCTGGGATTCAAAGTCGCAGTATACTTCTGGCAGTTCCTCCTAGAACCTCACTTCCTGCTGGCCCTGACATGTGGGAGGAGTTCCGTAGGCGAGCGCGTCACCGCCGCCATCATTTTGAGAAGCCCGGCTAAGCCTTCCCTCCCGCGGGTGTGTGTGTGGGGGGGGCTAGCCATGACGTACATCCCCCCCTTCTGTCCCCTGCCAGCTCCACCCGCAGCTCCTCGTCCGCCATAGTTGTTGGCGTAGCTGTAGTGAATCGTGAAGATGGCTTTGCAGCACCTCTTACTGGTAGTGTCGATGGCTTCTCGGGGATGTTGGGCGGTGCCTGCAATGGTCAGGGAGGCAGCAGAGAGTCACCGCCACCTGCGTCATCGCTGCTGTGCCGCAAACCTGCCCACGGTCTTTCAGAACCAATCCCGCCCCACTCCCACCTCCCAAAGGCACAAACAGAAAACAAGGTATGTAAGACCGAGGGCCTTACCAAACGCTCCGAGGAGCTGACTGCAGCGATTATCACCCGGGAAGGAACCCACCGGACAAGTTGGAAAATAAAACAGACCTTTATTAGTCTGGCCAGACGGCACTCCCAAAGCAAAATAGCTAAGAGAGGCAACTGGCTCAGAGTCTGAGGCTGTTTTTATAGGGGGTTGAGGGGGAGTTTAACATGTAGATTCACGGAAAAAAAAGAACAAAGGTTAGTGGTCGACTGTCACGTACTGACGGTCAGCAGACACACACAGTAATGGTCACGACCATATGGTCACGATCGTCATGTACTGATGGTCAGCAGACTCAGTGATGGATTGTTCTACCGATAGTGGGTCCGGGAATATTCGTTCTCCGGACAAACAAGGGGTTGAATGATTTACTCAGGAACTTTGTTTTGTTACAGATTTTATCTACTATCCCAAGACTAACAAGCACATTTTAACTATTAAATTTTAAACACAACAGAGGCTAGGGGAATAATTGAATTTTGAATCATACAGTCCCACAGGTATGTGACGCATTCCCAGATCCTTCAGCCAACTCAACATCAGCTACTTCTCTGCGATTGGGTCCAGATTGAGGTTCTCCCAAGACAGACTTCATTGGATCCACGTTCAAGAGGACTGCCAGGGTTTCCTGAGCCCCCTACATCGCTAAGTGCCAAGGCCTTAAGACTTGGTTACGTGTATTACAACGGCAAGAGTACCAGCACCAGGAAAGGACTCATTGGACCTCTCAGCTTTTCTATATTACCAAATGTAATAACCTTATCAATAAAGTAGAGTAAGCCAAATTCCTCTGTGTGACACCATCACCAGCTGATAAAGCCCAAGGAAAAAGAATAACTTAGACTAGAGCCCTATCTTTTCTTGAGGAGCTGAGTTTTAGAGGAGCTATTCTGAAATCTGTGCTGCTAGTAAGTAACTGATAACATTATAGACTGGATTGGTCCCAGAGTTCAGAGACTTGTAATTGAATGAAAGATAGACATCGAAATCTTGAAGAATTACACTGAGGTGCAAGCCAAAGTTAACACTCTTCAAATAATGTTTGTTGAACTGAGAAGTTGCTAAACCAAAGCTCTAATAGGACTGGTTATTTGGGCATCTTTCTGTCATTTTTTGTCTCTTGGTGTTACTAAGAATTGTCTTTCTAAGTCCAGATGTTCTCAGACAGTTCACATTGTCCTTATTGTGGACAACAGTGGTTTCGTAGTTTAGAACTAGGCCACTGGTTGTACCAAACTGAACTTGTTGAAAATGAATGTTACCGAGTCTTTTTAGACCATATTAATAGAGCTGATTATTGCCCTGAATGTTATCCTGATAATCCTGCTAATAGAAGCCTTGTTCTTCCTTGGTCTTTCCCACTTGAGTGGGCTCCCCAAAATCTCACCAGGTGGACCTTTGAAAAAGTTTGCCATCCCTTTCTTCTGTGTCCTCCACTGCATAGAAAAAAAGATACATGACTCCCGAGTAGCTGGTTTTAACCCTGCATTATAATCTTGACCAGAACAGACAAAACCTTAAACAAAAAACTTGGCAAAACAAGTAACTTCTATAATGATCAAAATCATGGAAATTCTAGAGAGTTTTGTGCTAGAAGCCTAAGGAAGATGGAAAAATAACTTAATTTCTTTTTTGTTTGTGGTACTGGTTCCCTATACTTGCTCTGGTAGACAAGTGCTTTACCACTGAGCTATGCCCTCAGGCTTTATTTCTAAATCTGATCAGATGATCACTATTTTTGAGAACTCCTTAAATTGTTGAGTCTGCTTCTGTGGTCTACACTTGTTTTGTTCAGCATGAATTTAGTCTGTCTTCCAGAGGGACTGTTCATTTAGAACCAGACAAATCCATAATACCTATAAATGATGTTTTAGAGCTAACTTGTCTCTCCTAAGAAGTTCCAGAGCTTAATTATTGACATATGACAAGATAGTCCTAAAGGGCAGGCCTCATACTGTGTGCCCCATAATTGTATTTCTAACAATAACTTCTGTGGGAAAGTCACTGTAGTTGGTTTCCAGATTATTCCAATAAATTTTAATAAGAAACTTGTTTTAAATCCCCCTTTTTATTAATAAATATATGTGTGTATATGTATATATATAAAATTTATTCATATATAATTGTTTATTCCTCATTGGTTTTGATTTGACTCATCCTTAGAGTGGTTGTCAAAATATTAATAACTGGTCACTATCAGAGAAGTCATATCTGTAAGGCAACACTTAACATAGGTTACACAAAAAGATGTAAAAATGCTACCTGTTTGTACTTACTTGGTTCTACATAACCAAAAACTATCCTGTCTATGTGGTAACTAAACTTAAAGTGTCGGGTCCTAGAAATGAGAAAGCACCTATATATTGAGATTTATGGAAAAAAAATGAATTATCAAGATTCAATATATATTCATGGAAGCATCTTTCTTAAGAAAGTCCTGGCCGGGGATTTGGCTCAGTGGTTTTGCCGCCTGCTGTGCAAGCACAAGGACCCAAGTTCGATCCCCGGTCCAAAAATGAAAAAAAAAAAACTAAGAAAGTCTTGCTAGACAGTGGCCACATTCTGGCCTCTTATTTATGAAACTCCCAAAACCAGTGTTACAGTTAGGTAATTTTGAAAAAGCTGTTTAAAAATCTCTCAGAATCCACTGAACAATTTTTAAATTCCACTTAAGATTAGCTAGGTAATCTGGTACTTGTGTGGCAGCTCAAAGATGTTATCAAAGACCCATGTTCTTTCTGTCCTCCCCTACTGGGATCCTTATGCTTGCTTTTTGTCCTCATGGTATTTCCTCAATGAGTGCTGTATGGTTTTGTTGCACCTGACATTTCAGCACCAATCAAAGGCTAGACATTGGGAGCAGAGGGCTTTCTCCTTTCAATTCTGGCCTTTATTTGGGATTAAAACTTTTCCCAAAAGTCCCTAGAAGAATTCACATCTCATTAGAAGGTACCATTGCATGAGTGTGGGAAAACCTGGCAAAGTGGAATGGTATTGGCATTCCCCAGGTAAGGCACATTGCCTCTGCTGGTAAAATTAGAATTCTTTCAGGAAGGAAGCAGTAGAGAATGAATGCTATTTCTAATGCAACAAATCATACTTGCCACATGTTGTAAAACCTAAAAGTTATTTTTCTGTATAAAGAATGTACCCCAGAAATTCACCCCTGTTATCTGCCTTATGTCTGTCATGATGGCAGTTCTCTTCTGTTATTGCTGAATAAACTATGGACTGCTAAAAAATAAATAGATAAATAAATAAATAAATGAATTAGCTTCAGTTGGGAGCAAATGAAACTGCTTTTATTTAGTTTCTAAGTTAAAACATTCCAAGAACTACTTAATGTTTCATGGATATATCTAAATATATAATTTGTAGCAGTCGTTGAAAATAAAATTTCAAATCTTACAGACATGAGTTTCTCTGATTTTCTAGTTTTCTCTTTGTATGAGAAATAACTTTAGATAATCCCTTAATGCATGTTTAAAATTGTTTGTGAAATTTTGAATTCTAAAATGTCTGGCCATGAATCTCACTAGAGCTCTAACAACATCTTTCATATCCTTGTTTTACTTTATAATTCAACAAGAACAGTGACAGCCATGTGACTTATTGAACACTTGAAAATGTGGTACAGAGGGGAGGGAGAGAAATTCTAATTGTTTCTTTCCCCCAGAGTTGATACTTGTGGGACAAGATTCTAGTGGGAGGGCATTATTGTTTGTTCCTATTCAGATTCTTATTGTTTGTACCTACATATAAAATCCACCTATTAATCAGCCTTTACAAAGGGTCACAAGGTTTTGAGCTTCACCTTTGTCAGTGAGCAGGATTAGAGACTCAAAGATACTGTTGCACTGTCACTTCCTCATGTCTTAGAGTCACTTTTCCTTCCACAGCAATGAAAAAGAAAAGTATGCAAACTTGAACTCTGGGAAGAAGGAAGGGTATGTCTGAATCTCAACCTTTTACTTAAAAACCTTACAATTTTCTGTGCAGTCTCTTGTCAGTGCTAGGAAAGATGCACCTGGCTATAAACCTGTCTTGAATGGTCCTCATTCTAAGAACCATGCTCCTTGATGAGCACAGGTTTCCTTATGTCAAACATTTCTTTCTTTACTCATCAGAGCTTAGGCAGTGTGAGTCTTTGTCCAGGAACTTTGAATCTGTGTTAACTTATTTCTTAGCTTCATATTTTCACTGAAACTTCTATGGAAAATACTGAGCCAAGCTATATTGAGTTTGCAATTTAGTCTAGAAGAAACACTGGTAATGGATGACTCAATAATTAATAAAGAGTTAAGCTCATTCCATGTGTGAACATAAGAAATATGTTCATGGGCAGATTGAAAATGATCTTATTCACAGGGATTTCACTATGAAAGATCTTAACAAAAGGGTTAACTGGAATTTCCTATAATAAAGTGGTGGAAGAAGAAACAATTGAAGGTGTTATGTGAGTTAAAATGTAGGACCTAAAAAACATCATTTTGTGTAATATCATATCACCAGAAGGGAATCCAGGAAGTCTTCCAGAAGAACAGATGGCCTGAACTTGCCCCATGGAGGAGGTTATAGAATCTCTGACTTCATCTCAGAAAAAAATTTCAGGACAGGTCAATAAGAGGAATAAAGAGATTTATTATGTAGAGTTAAAGAAGTACACACTCAGAGAAAATAGAGCCTAAGTGCCCAACAGAGAGGCACATTCTGGTATGGGGTGAGGGTATTTATGTGTTTTGGGTCATGTCCTCAAGCCAGTGACCTAAGATGTGCATTCTTACTGTTTGTCAGTCACCACTTAGTGGACTAAGCTAGATGCAGACCCTTTTCATGTGTTTGAAATTTAGGTATATGCTGCCCAAATAATAGTGCTGCTTCTCTGGCCTGGAAGCCTGTGGAATTTATGAATCTATGGTAACAAAAGAAAAGCATGGGCACAGTTTAGAGGAGAAAAGAAAGGGGCTGAATTACATCTTTAAAATTCTTAGGAAGCTTTTTCTTTCTCCCTTTTCCCTCCCTTCCTC